CCCCTCAAGGATTGAGCTCACAACCCTGGGTTTAGCAGGCCAATGCTCAAACCACTGAGCTATCCCTCCCCCTTTCTAAGGAAGGAACTAATCTTGCACTCTACTTGGTATGCAGGGAAACTTCCTACTATTCAGTTCACACCCATTGCATTTAGACTGCATCAGCAGGCGTGAAATTATTTAAGAAAATTATTCCACTACCAAACAGATACGATGAAAAAGCTCCAGCCTTCCCTGTTTACTGGTGGGCTGTGTATTTTTTCAAGCTGTATAATTGAGTTAGAGAGTGAACCAATGATCTGAATGCAACTCTAAGATGAAGAACAGCCCAAATGACAGTTATCAATATCTTTACCTGTATGCAGCTATTTATCTCTATTATTATCTTTAATAATTATTACTATTTGCTAAACCCAACAGCTTGCTTAGCCCTGGATGGAGCCCATCCTGTTAGATGATTCGGTTTAGCTGTCCTCAAAGGCAAGAATATTTTGCTGATATTTAGGCTAATAGTTAGTTTACTGTCTTTCATCCCATACTCCCTGCTAACACTTTTCTAGGAAGTCCTGAGTTCTGATCCCAGCCCTGCCAGTGACTCCCATGTTGGCCTTCAACAGATTGCTAAGGCCGATTTTTTCATATCTGGATCTCTGAAGTTAGGCACCTAAATAAGTGGCCTGATTTTCAGAGGTGTTGAAGTCATAGGGAGCTGGGGATTCTCAGCACCTTTGAAAATCAGACCACTTATTTAAGTGCCTAATTTTAGGTACCCAGTTTGAAAATTCCAGCCTTTGCACAGTCAATTTTCCCATTTATGTAATGGGGATGATTTTACCTACCTCCCTGAGGTACTCAGGGTTAATTAATGCTTTTCCAGAGTTTTGAATGGCTAAAGCTCTATATAATAAAAGTATTATTATTAAGGTAATAATAAATAAGGTATTATTATTATGACCATCCCATTTGATAGAGTGGTAAACGACTATACATTTAAATATTGCTCATGATTCCTAATACAGTATATATTTTGGATTCTTCATCTATGAAAGTAGGATTACATAGTAAACACACAGTATGATTTCATGACTATGCACATTATACAACACTGATGAAGTTATCTGCTCAACTGAGATTTTAAAAGCCATAGTCATACTAATTATACAATGTCATGGCTGTCTCCTCTACAGCAGAATCAAGGTGTAAAGACGCATTTCCTAAGAAGGTTACTGTACTAGTTTATGCTTCCACAATCCAATCTTTTCAATTAGATGATATTCAGAGCAGAATGGAAACACCCTTATCCTTATTCCCTATGATTTAATCATAGCATGATTCTGAGGGTGGATCAAAGTTAAACTACCAATTCCCTTTTTATATTTTCATATGATGAAATGTAACTGGCCCCAAGGAAAAGGATGATGAAAAACTAGAAATTCTAATTACAGTCATAACAAGGAACAACATAAGTATGGAAATTTGAAAACTATTACTAAGTGTCCAAAAATGCAAACTTAATCCTGAACACCATGCAAATAACTGCTGAAATAAACTCATTCCTTCCACATTTCCACCACAGCAAGGGCTAGTAAATGACTTTAAAGAATAGCCAGTGGTTCAGGGCAAATGGGCCAGGTGCTTCCTTACAAGTATACAAGTGATGCCTGACCAGATGAGTGTCTTGATTCAATATGACATTGCAAGTGAGGGTTAGTAACCAAGTGTGCCATATAGAGAAGAAACAAAGTTGAAAATAACAAGATCTGGTGGCCACTCAGTATGGTACATACACATCACAATGGTCTGGCTCTTCCCTTTCACTTCTTGTCTGCTCTGTGTAGTAGGGGGTTAAATATGGTGGAAGAGGAGGGAGGTGACCAGTTGTACAGGTTCAGGATGGGCATTCCAGCATGGAAAGAGACACAGGCATTTCTGTGAGAGAAGCAGATAAAGGGGATAGCGAGACCAGAATCATTGGTGAGTGTAGAGGAGTGAGAGATAGGGCACAAAAGAAGACCAAGTCAGAGATGTAGGCTAGGTCTGGCCTTGAACGCAAAGACTGTGAATGTGAGGCTCGGGCAATGGGAAGCTACTGCAATGACTCAACATGGCTGAGGGGATAGCATAGGAAAACTGATTTGGGCAGCAGCATTTTGGATGGACAGGCGCGAGAAGGTGGGGCAGGTTACTACAGAAGAGACCCAAGAAGAGAGGCTTGCAGCAGTCATGGTGGTGGGAGAAGATATGGATGTGAACAAACAATTTGGCAGTCAGTACACAAAGAAAGGGGCGGGTTCTAGAGAAGTGACCCCACTTGGCTACAAGCTGGATATGCTGAGAAAAGAACAGGGAGGAATGAAAGATAACCCCTAAGTTATGGGTTTGGGGGATAGGGAGGATGGTAAAGTTATGAATTGCACTGGAGGACTGAGGTAGGGAGGAAGGTTTGGGCTAAAATATTAGTAGGTCAGTTTTGGCCACGTTGAGTCTGAAATGGCAGCAACTCATTCAGCATGAGGTGTCAGACACAGTTAGAGATAGGAGCCAGCAGATACATCCAGCGTGGGGAAGTACATTTGACAGTAATTGGGGTACTTACACTGTAAGCTCTTTGGGGGCAGGGATAATCTTTTTGTTCTGTGTTTGTACAGCACCTAGCACAATGGGTTTGTGGCCCCTGACTGGGGTGCCTAGCTGCTACCCCAATACCAATAATCATCATCATCATCATCACAGCAGTAGCAGAGCCCATGCAAATAGAAGTCATTTATGAATAGGGTGTAGTGGCATTATCCCTCCCAAAGCTACCCAGTGTGTCCTGGGTGTTTGGATCTTATCCCCCACCCTGCCTGCTCCCTGTCTCCTTAGGGTAATCTGCAGTGACAAAGAAGAGGAGGGAAATCCTCCTTGATTAAGGTCAAATTACAAGCTGTTCCTAAGTGTACCTCAAGTTAAGCTGGTTCATCTACAACTCTCACCCTTTCTGGTGACTTTCTCTCTGAGTCTCATATGTGAGATACTGTCTATTCTTTGGGTCTCTAGGTTTATGAATAATAGAATACCACTTTTTCTTCCAAGAAGCTGTCTTCAAATCCCAAATCCCCATATATAATGACGCCACAACCTCTCTCAGGCTGTAAGCCAACACTCCTTCCCTCAGCTGTGTGCAGCCTTCCTGTGATTTGATGCGGACACAGCAGCAAAATGAGGACAGGCACATGCACGGAATTAAGCAGGAGGCCCCAACTTTTATTAAACTTTAACACCAGGGAGGGGTGCTACCCGCGCATCACCCATACTCTCCTGTACCAGGCATTTAACTGGTTCCAGGAGCATAAAGAGGCTCCACATACCCTGTTAAATGCTGGTGAATGCTAGCCAATCAGCAGCCCTCCCCACCAGCTGGCCAATGGGTGCCAGAGACGCCCAGGAGAAGGAGCTACCTAGTGTCCCTAAGTGAGTGTCTCCCTCCCTCGCTGCTGGAACACTTCCCGTTCACTGCCGTCCATATCAAGTTTCCTCATCCATTGGGGCAGGTGGGTGGCATTTGTCCTTATTAGTTTAAACACCAACAGAAACCATCCTGCATCCTGGTGGCCTTTCACTGACAGCCCATCTGCCAAGTTCATACCTGAGAGTGTCCCAGAGCTGTAGCTGTCCATTCTGTCACACTGCCAGCTGAATGTGTACGAGTTACGCAGTTCTTGAACCAGATAATTTACAACTAAAATCCAGACAGTATTTTCAAATAACGTATTTATAAAAACAAAAATGTCTCTTAAAATAAATGCATTCCAGAGCACCTCCCTATTAATTAAATGTGTTTTGTAAGTTATTTATATAGTGAGCTGAGCCTCACTTCTGTCCTGTTAACCCTTTGTGGCTATTAAAGATCTTATGGCACTTTTAATGGGAATACAGCAAGGTTTCTTAGTCAACATTTCTTTTCCTCCTGTTGTGAGGCTTGTTAGTTTCTCAGAACTGGAAAATGTAAAATAATGTTTCATTCTTTTAGTTATTATAACATTATTATATGTTTCCATAGGGATATAATTTATCAATTATACTTCAGGATGAAAGGTTCTCTATGAACTAATTTTATTGTCTTTCAACATTACTGCTGGCATGGTGCTATTCTATAATACAGAGTACAGTACAGTAGCCTAACAGAAAGGAAGAATGATGCAATGATTACGTGCTTGCGTGGGACCCAGGAGATGCAGGTTCAGTTTTCTGCTCTAACACATGTGGCCTGAATGATCTTTTGCAAGTTGCTCAGTTTCTCTTTGCCCAGTTCACTATATATAAAAAGGGGATAATATCTACCTCATAGGGGGCAGTGAGGACAAATGCATTAGATATTGTGAGGTATTATAGTAATGGAGCCACATAAATACAATAGATATGCTGTATATTGCAATCAGCCACTGTATTTCTCTTTTGGTTAACACAGACCAAACTACTAAAATATGAGTTTGCAGTATCATTTAGAACAGTATTTTTTCTAGCCAGTGTTGCTTAAAGAATTTACCTTTATTTTGTTTGTCATGTGACTCTGTGAGGAACTGAGAGATGCGATCAGAAGGAATAGCAAAGGAAATTCCAGCAGTAACCTTTAAAGTGTTTATTCCAATCACTTCACCATCCTGTGGAAAGAAGACAGCCAATGAAATTGTCTCTAAACGACTACAAGGTTAATCCCACTGCCTAAGGCCTTATTTTTCAAATAAGTAAGTTGACGTCAGTTACTCACTCTCTGGAGAAGTAGAGCAATGACTTACTGGGGAAGCTATTCTTTCCTATTATAATTGTTTTCATGGGTTTTGAGAAAGGTACCCAACATGTGGTAGTGGTGATACAATAAATAATGATAAAATTATTCTTCACTTTGAATCAAATTGTTTTTCTTTACTTGTCTTCTAGTGACACATTTTCAGACCTTAATGCTAAGTTCTATGTGCAAAAAATGTGCACTTGCCCATTTTCCAAGCAGAAAATGGGCGTTTGTACACGTCAGATACATGTCTTTCTGCATATACAGTTAGATGTGCAATTACCAGATTTGCATTAGCAGAGGGAGAGTTTGTAGCCACACATAGATGTTTTTCACAGGCATAACTTATATGCCATTATCTGACAATTTAGCCATTAGTGATTTTTCTTGAAGATCTGTCACTTCAATGATGTAAGATTTGTGTATGTGTATAATATATTGGACATTCCACCTCCACTGAGAACATAAGAGATAAGTAAGCCTGTTCTGTAAAGGAAAAAAAATCAATCTGTTCTTACCAAATTAACCAGAGGTCCTCCTGAGTTTCCATACTGTAAATATAATGGCAGAATATGTTAAATTGTTATTTTACGTCAGGAAAGGAAAATGGCACTTCAGATCCTGTTATTTATTAGCACCTGAGAGTGAGCGAGGCACTGCACTGAAGGACACAATCCCTATCATAAAGAACTGAGAATCAAAGGGCCTGATCCTGCACAGGAATCCAAGTGGTGAACCTTATGATTATAGTTGCTTCTTTGCAGGATCAGGTTCTAAACTGGGGTTAGTATTAGGGGAAATGTTAAAGAAAGTCTCTAAAATGTAAAACCATATTTTTATTCTCCTAGGTATTGTTGCAAAAAGGTTGGAAAATATTTAATCCATGTTTAGAAAATTACATCTCAGGACGATGTTAATAAACCAATATTTTTTAATAAAACCTAGACCTGTCAATCAGCACATTGGGTTGTGATACTGTCAGTTACTTTCCCCAAGGAGCACAAAGAACCTGGCCAACATTAATTAAGCCTCACTGCATCTCCTTGTGAGGTAGATAAGGAGACACAGGGATTGCTTTACTAATCATGGATATGCAGCTAGCTCTGGGGGGAAATGTGACATCTGTTTAACTAAGCATTTTTGAGTTTTCCCAGTATCTGAAGACTTTCAAGGAAAAAACCCAAAAAGCAGAAAGCTGCAGGAAGTGGGATGTGTAGAGGTCACTTGCCTATCTACTTGTTGGCTGCACACATTTGTTTTTGAGTTGGGCCAACTTTTTGGGTCAGTTTATCAAAGAGCCAAGAGCAGCAAGCTACTAGTCAAAATAAACAAGCAATGGATCAATAATTACCAGTACGCGCCATCTAAGAGTTTACCTATTGATTGCACTGGGCAAAGTGCTGTTTATTCTCAGAAAAATAAAACATAAAATCTACTTTGATTTGTATTAATTTCATGGTATATCTTTGTCAAGTAACCATTTGTAACAGATCTGAATTATTTCTGACTGTGGAAAACTGAGCCATGAAAGCAGCTTTTTCAGATATAATTCCCTGAATCATGCAAAAACTTTCACAATAATAGAGAACCAGAGTCACCTTTCACTTGCTGTCCTGTGCTAGAATAATTTGATGGTAAAAACCCCATGTGTACAAATACAATATAGTTCAGTTTAGTAGAGTATTGCCCATTCCCTCTTTTGTCTCTCCTGCCCTTTCACAAGGCAGCTACGCATTCTTGCTGAAGTGTCTGGCTGAGCAGGAGGAATGCTTCTGAATAGAGCAACTATCAGACTCTTCCTATGCTCAGGAGGAATGAGTGAGTTAACTAAGCTTACTGCTTCTCCAGGCCTGAGACCATCTTCATACTCCATGTTCTCTGTTGGAAGAACAACTCAAAATGTCGCTTTTTCCGGTCTTTTCCTTCCTTCCCTACTCTCAGGGCTTACATTCATCCACAGCAGTCCAGAGCGGAGCTCCAGGAAATATTTTCAACCCCCCTGGAGTTTTCATAGAATGCCTGGGGGGAGGCAATGGGGGGGCTCTGGGAAATACTCGACGAGAATTTAAGCCCTACCTACCATAATATCACCTTTGCTCTTGTATTACGTATTGAACTCTGCTGTCTGTGTCTGAACTGGATCAGAAGCTTTTGGGGGCAGAGGTGGCCTCATGCACAGGTTTGGAGCAATGTTCACCGATTTGAAATCAAGAAAGTCCTGTTCTAATCCTGGCTCTGCCTCCAACTTGCTGTTTGTCCCGTCAAATAAAATCTTTAATGTGCCTCAGTGATTTAGAAGTTAATGGGACTTAGGCTGCTAAATGTCACCCTCAACCTCTTATACATTTGTTTCCCAGTGTATAAACCAGATTCCTTGATACAACCACCTCAAAAGGGTATTGTGAGAAATAATGAATATTTACAAAGGGCTTTGCATGTGTAAAAGGCTAAATACTATTAATTTACTCTGCTGAGTACATTGTCTGAATTTAGTGAATACATATTTCTGGGAATATTTTTGTTTTAAAGTTTTGGCAGACTTTAGTTGTCATCACCCCTTAAACTCACTAGAAGTTGCATGCAAGTATCTGAGGGCATAATTTAGTCTTTTTCGGTCATCCCTTGTAGCCCCTCATATGAGTAGCAACTGCACCTTCATATGTGTCTGTACAGCACGTAACACAATGGGGCCTCAATCCTGATTGGAGTCTCAGGCTGTTACAGTGATTTAGAGTAGATTCTCATTTGGACTATACGGCAGAACAAGTGAGCATACAGGTACGTGACGCTACTCACCCATTTATTCTTTCCCTGAGTACAGAATGAATGGAGCTTTGGCTCCACTCTCACAACTTGCATGCCAGAGTAGCCAAGCCAGTGCAGACAGGAGCTGATCTATACCAGCCATATGTCATTGTCATTGCACATATGCTCCCTTGGATAAGGCAGAAACGGGGGGGATTGTAACTCCAAGAGGTGCCTCTCATTCACCATGCCTCCCAGGACTATTGTGGGGTGGGGCATCCTATGCACCTTCTCTTCCTCAGGGCTAAGATCAGAATCTAACCCACAGACAGAGAATAATCTATCTGTCATGCACGAAGAGGGCATAATTTATTTTATAGGAAGTCCATTTTATTCAGTTGAATTCCTCTAACAGGGTAATTATTCCCTGCAGCACCGGTGGAATTTCAAGGTTCCAGGACTATAAATCTGGTGAGTTTCTGAACTCCTCACCTACCCAGTACTTACATTGATAATGGCATCTGTCTGAATGTAATCCATATCCGAGTCCCTCAGGCCTAGCTCCTTTCCATCTCGCTGAGCAGTGCTGACAATACCTGTTGTCACAGTGTTCTGCAAGGCAAAAGGACTCCCAATAGCCACGACAAACTCTCCAGGACGCAGATCAGCCGAGTGGCCCAGTAATAATACGGGCAGTTTTTTCTTTTAAAATAAAAACAGGAAGAAAACAAAGAATTACTGTCAGTTTGTGGCTGGTCAAACAAAATGAAACGTAAGGACCAAATCCTATCTACAGGCCAGAGGATATGCTGCCACCTATGTCCAGTGGAAGAGCAATTCTGCCATCGTAAGTCAGGATACCACAGCTCAGGCCAGCTCAATACACTGCAGGTCACTGCTTCTTGCTACTGTCTTCAGAAGAAAAGTGCTCAGTGCTAATGGAGCTGCCTTGCAATTATAGTAGATGACAGAATAAGCCCCAACAGGATTCTGGGACAAACTCACCTGTTTTCCATGGGATCACCATTGTCATGGTGTGCAAGCCATCACAAGCCAGATTCTGCCATCCTTACTTACATTGTGCAGTATCTTACTGCCCACGTAGCACCACCGAAATCAATGGGATTATTTGAGGAGTAAGGTATCACCTAGTGCAGTGGTTCCCAAACTTTAACAACCTGTGAACCCCTTTCACCAAAATGTCAAGTCTCGCGAACCCGCTCCTAAAAATGAATATTTCCAGGGATTTTCTCCTTTACCTGAGTATAAATTATAAAAGCAGTGATCTTGGAAATATAAAATTTGTTTTTATGACATGCTTATTACACACTATTTATTATTAATTATTATTTATCATTACAGTATTTTTATTACATTATGAAAATGGCAGCACTCTTCCAAGATCTCACTTTCATAGCTTGTATCACTTTGAATAAGCTTGTTATAAGACAAGGCTCCTATGTTTCATCAAGAAGTATCAGATGTGAAACAGCATGAAGGTATCTAAGAAGCCAACTCAAAGAGTTCCTCTTATACAAGCATTCAGGTCTTGAGCAGTTCAAGCAAACAATACACGTTACCACGAAGCTTAAACTTGTTCTTCATAATAATTTTAAAAACAATACTAGCTGCCTATTTAATTTCAAAAACAGCAAAAAATATCCACCTCCCTTTCCATTTCTTATAAGGAGTCTTGAAGTTTAAATCTCCTCAGTGTAATAGATGTGCTTGCTTTGATCTGCTTAGCTCTTGGAAGTCCAGGGGCTCCGGGCTGCTGGTCCCGTGCTGCCCAGGGTCCCTAAGGACAGCTCTGTCCGCCATTAGGGAATTTTTTCCCGAGAACCCCCTGTAACGTTTCGTGAACCCCCAGGGGTTCACGAACCCCAGTTTGGGAACCACTGACCTAGTGGGAGAGCCTGGCGGTATGTAAACTATGAGTAACTGCTAGGGGACTCTTGTGTACAACCACATCACATATTCTGCTCTCAGCAGGCTGACTCTTCCGCTTTGGCCAGTGTTCCGCTCTTGTGCACCTCAGGCAGGATGGCGCCTTTAACTACAAGTATTAAACTGTCCCAATAAAGCAGATGCTTTTTGAGAGAGAGGATGTTCACTTCAAATATCCCGTCCTCTCCCAACATTGAAAGGACTTTTTTCTTCAAACACAGTCACACTCACATCTCCAGTTATGTTTTCCAATATGCAGCATCCACATCTTTCTTTCAATCAGTGCTTCCATACCAGAAACGGTGAAATAATTTATTAACAAGATGTAAAATTTCCCAGGCCTACAGCTGCAGTCTATGCCTTACATTTCATCTGCAATTTATATTAGGCTTCACATTGACTAGTAAATATGACTAAATGAGAGAGATATAGTATTCCCAGGCAACAATCAAAATAAGTTTCCATGAGGCAATTTGTTCAATTCCTGCCCAACTATGGAACTATTTCTGGTCTAAATACTGGAAGAACCAGACATTTATTAAAGATCACTGTGACACTCCACTAATAGTAATATTCCACATTTTGAGCCAGATCTTCAGTGATATAAATCAGAGTATTGCATTGAAATCACTGGTTTTGGGTCCTTGATTTTACTATATGTTTAGTCATTGAAATGGGAACCTTCTTTCCCCCCTTTTTTAGCTGAATTGTATCATATTAACAAGATCTGCTAATAAACTGCTTATTTTGCAGTCTCTCTGGCTGCTAATTCCTGACTGGAGCAAAGAAATGTGAAGTCGATGTCTTGCTATTAAAAATATCTTAGGTTCATTTGCACTGTGAAATTTGCATGATATTAATAATGAACAATTCCACATATGCTTCTAAAGAATTCTTAAAAATATGTTCCAGCAAACAAGGCTGTGCCTAAAACACAACTGAGCTGAGGCTACAAGTCTGATTCATTTAACCTCTTAGATTACTTACTTTAGGATGAATCTTTATTGTTGCTATATCAGACTTCTTGTCAATGTCTTTGATTGTTGCTTCATAGGTATCTCCATTCTGTAGCTGCACTTTTAACTGTTGTCGCCCTGATATAGCATTGCTGCTTGACACCACGTGGGCATTGGTTACAATTAAACCTGAGTCTGACATTATAAACCCAGATCCACTGGATAAGGGGACATTTCGGCCAAAGAGAGGATGTCTGTACCGGAAGCAAACAACAAAATATCTCATAAATTAAACAGCTTGTGGGGAATAATAATATTATTATTTAACGAGGCTTATTACAGTTTGTAACAGCTCATACATATATATCACCTTTCACGCTGAAGAATCCCAAAGCACTTTATCATTGACGTTAGATCCAGTAAAAAAAATACTGTCAAGTATCAGAGGGGTAGCCGTGTTAGTCTGGATCTGTAAAAAGCAACAGAGAGTCCTGTGGCACCTTTAAGGCTAACAAAAGTATTGGAGCATAAGCTTTCGTGAGTGAATACCCACATGCGTCTGACGAAGTGGGTATTCACTCACGAAAGCTTATGCTCCAATACTTTTGTTAGTCTTAAAGGTGCCACAGGACTCTCTGTTGCTTTTTAAAAAAATACTGAATTTTAAAACTTGGACAAAAGAAGACAAATTTTTCACAAAAATGTGGGTCCATTGTTAGACCAGCTCTAATGAATGTCATGCCAGGGACTCTGAAATGTGGGACCGTGGAGCACTTTGCTAGAGGTCTGCAAAGAGCTGGAAGATCATGGTCCTTTCCCATCTTTGTTTTCAGCTACTTTTACAGGTATCTGTAATTTACATTGCAAAAAAGGCACCTGGATGCCAGTAAAGGTAGCTGGAATAAAGGGAAAGGACTGCCCGTCTGACTTCACTCATCACTGGTGCTATGTGAGAGGAGAATGAAGGCAGGAAACAAGAGCTTCCAGACACCAGAGGGAACTAAGAATGGGACTGACGCCTCTGGTAGGAGTGGGGAACTAGGGAACAAGGGAGAAAGGCCCCAGGCAGCGAGGCAGCTTGTGCAGGAAAAAGGAGGAACTGGCAGCAGGAACTCATGGATAGGAGAGTGGAGCAGGGGGCACAAAAGCATGTTCAGGGGAAGGCAGGGGTTGAGAAGGGGAAAGAAGAGATAGAAAAGGGAGACAAAATGAAAAGCAAAACAAATGGCGTGATTTAGAAAACTGAAGAAACACTTACTCCACTGAAGACAGTTACAAATACATTAAAGATTTTTTCTAAGTATGACTCTTCCTTGTCAGCAATTGCTGCCATTGCTACAGGTGTTTTATGCAAATAGGAAGGGAGATGGTTTCAGTGATAACAAATGGGAGGGGAACTGGTCCAGGAATCAATCTTCCTGGTAAGATGCAGTCCAGGCTGTGAAATTATTTGAAGCCGATGGTACATACAGCAACACTGAAGTGTAGCCAGTCCTGGACACAATCAGTGCCCAATACACTGCACATCATTGAGGGATGAGGAGTTAATCTGACCTGAGTTTTTGCAAGAACTCTGGGGCAAATGTTTTCTTTTCTGGAAAGGAGAAAGGATTTATAATATATACACAGAGAGAGCAAACAGGTCTTGGGTTTTAAAGTTTTTGCAAACCATTAACAGATTCATAGATTTTACAGGCAGAATAATTTAGTCAGACCTCCCACATGACACAGCTCATAGAAGTTCACCAAGTGATTCCTGCGTCAAGCCTGTAACTTCTCTTTGAGCTGCATCAGATTTTTTGGAAAGACATCCAAACTTAATTTAAGACACCAAGTGATAGAGAAACCCCCAGATCCCCAGGTATGTTGTTCCAATGGTTCATTACCTTACCTGTTAAAAATGTTTGCACCTTGCTTCTCATCTGAATTTATCAAGCTTCAGCTTCCATCCATTGGCTCTTATCATGCATTTGTCAAACAGATTCAAGAGCCCTCTACTATCAGATATCTTTTCCCCACTTAGGTACTTATAGCTCCTGATCATATTGCCTCTTAACCATCTCTTGGATAAAGTAAATATAGAGTGAGGTTCTTTAGGCTCTCACTGTAAGCAGCCTTTTTCTAGCTTAGCTTTCTATGTACATTTTTTTCACTGGAATGGTTCATATTTTACATTCTGTCCAAATCAAGATTGAATGAATCTCAAAAACAAATAAGATAGCTGCACTTTATTCTATATCATACCTGATCTATCCAAAGATAGTGAGGATAGTTAATGTATATACAGTACTGCGAAGATGTTAAGCAGTATAAGTAGCTAGGTACTATTAGTACTACATTTATTATCATTTGCACTACTGCTTAATACCAGGATTCCTTCCTACACGCAAGCATAGCTGAATTAACACTGGGCATCACTGCTTCAGGGTGGTTGAGACATCATTTGAAAAAACACTCCTGTAAGACTTTGGTTTTGTTTATCTTTGTCTGACCACAGGAGATTGCTGGTTTCTAAGAAAATGTTAACAGTTACAGGCTTCAGTTAGAGCGTTAGTCTGCTACTGGGTTGCTCGGTTTCAAAAGGCAGCACAAGCATGTGTCGCATGCTTCTAAACAATGCAGTTAGAACACACACAGTCAAAAGAAGTTACCTCAGGAAAAGTTCAATGTGTACAACTGCAGGTGCAATCTTTTCCACCACATCTGCAATGAAGTTAAACTTGTATCTTGGGCTGTTGGGCTGTCGGTGACCTATACTAGCAGAAAAAATTGGGTATGTTAATAAGAAAATACCCTTTGTACCAATCAGATGAGTTAAATTTGTCTATAGTTCACATGGGGACATTTTCCAACCAGACAGGGGAAAGGCATATAAGGCATGAGACTTTTAAAAATTGCTTGTGTTTTGTTTTGTCCCGAGAAAATGGCAAGGTCATTTGGCTAAGAACTTCCTAGATTAATTGCAATTCACAAGGTTTAGTGATGGCCTTGTCTGGCTGTTTTTTTTTTTTTTAACTAGTCGTCATTATTGTTTAAAATTTCTATTGCAGTAGCACCTAGAGATCTTATCCAAGTCAGGACCCCACTGTGGTAGGCACTATACTAAAGTACCGTAAATGACCGTCCTTGCCCCAAAAGCTTATGTGTGAACTCACTGTGAAAATACCAACTGAAAGCAGATCTACCAGAATCCTTATGATCTGTTACTATAATTCAGTAATAAGTTTGACAGTATTATGAAAAGAAACACGAATAAAATATGAAATTCTGCTAAACCCAGGGTTGTGAGTTCAATCCTTGAGGGGGCCATTTAGGGAACTGGGATAAAAAGTCTGTCTGGGGATTGGTCCCCCTTTGAGCAGGGGGTTGGACTAGATGACCTCCTGAGGTCCCTTCCAACCCTGATATTCTATGATTTGAATCAATCATGTTTATTACAGTAGTGTCTAGGGAGAACAGGGCCCATTGTAGCACTGTACAAACTTAATAGTAGATAGTCTTGCCCCAAAGAAATTACAGGAAGCTTAAAAGACATGGACAATTGTTTCTCAGCACTTTTATGATAAACTCTGTTGCAAATGTTTTGCAAAGGCAAATCGTACATTTCTGAAATTTCCTAGCATAAAAGAAGCTGTAAACAACTCTAACTGTACACTCCCATAATGACTAAGACTCCAGTCCTGCAAAGGGAAGTGTTTATACAGACCCTTATGCTGGCGGGGAGTACCAATGATTTCAATGGCATTCCACGCGAATGAATCCCATTGGAGGTTCAGGATCTAAATCAGCAGGAATATGCATGAGAATAGGAATAAAGTTTGAGCTGATTTTCCTCACAGAACAGCAGGAGGAGATCACACTTCACACCTGTAACCAAAATTGTGACTAGTTTCCCACCCAGCAAAACCATGATGGAGACTAAACAGATAATAGAAATCAGTACAATAAGGCATTCCCCACTGGAACACAGTATAGTCATTTCAGGGTAGATGGAAACTTTGTGCTTAAACCAATAATCTTGTTTTGTAACACTGTCAGAAGATCAATCAAGCTTTCTTTTATATCTTCACCTACCTCCATTGTAGTCATATGTACACAGTCTGGTGATTTAAAATAAACTCTTAGAGTACCAGATTGCTCAGAGGATTTGTAATGAGACATAGCACTTTTCATCTCTAGGTTAGTTCAGATCTGGTGCAATGGCTGTAGTTCCATGCATTATGGGAAGGAGTTGATGGTCTCACTACACATCATAAAACTTATTCCATCACAGCTGGTACCTAAGGGAGACTTGCAGGATGTGGATTGAATGAGAATGGAACACAAACGCCTATTCTCTCATTGTTAGAACAAAAGTAAGGCCCATTCTGTTTAGGCCTGATCTTTTACGCCTCCTCCTCAGTCCCTGCACTGAGCTCAGCTCAGGCTCAAGGTTGAATTGGCCTCATAATATGTTCAGTTTATGTAGTGCTTCAAGGAAAAATGCTATATGAATGGAAGAGTCTACTGAAAGTATTAGACTTTTTTTAGCCTAGTCAATGTAACAAGCAAGAGGCACAGATAAAGCACTTCTCTGCATAATCTATGTTGTTTTCTTTCTGCAGTGGCTTACCTAACTTTTAAAGGAGACAGAGACAGACCAAGAAGGAGACTGAGAATAAGAGTAGGGAGACTAAGAGGTTGGGGGGGGGAAAGGAGTCAGAAACAAAGGAAAAATAGAGAGAGAGGCTGACACAAAGAGGAAGAGGAAGAAGAGACATGGGGCTGGGGGAAGAGGGATGGGAGACGGAATCAGTAATAATTTAAAACATTTTCCTATATTTTGATATTCTACCTGCTTCTTAGTTGAAAGATTATCTTGGGCACCAAAGTTTAAAGGTGAGCTCTAGAGGTGATCCAGAGAATTACAGTCCAGTTAGCCTTATATCTGTGCCTGATAAATTCATTGAAATAATCTTTAGAAATAGAATAATAAGACAACTGGGAGATCATGATATGATATGGTCTAACCAGTAAGGATTTTGCAAAAGGACATCATGTCTCACTAATCTATTAGAAGTCTTTGAATGTGTCAATAAACTAGTGCATAAAAGAGAACAAGCTGACATAATTTATTTGGACTTCCAAAAGGCCTTTGACAAGGTCTCTCACTAGAAGGAACTAAAGAAGCTAAATAGTCATGGAGTGAGAGTCAAAGTATTGTCATAGATCAAAAAATGTCTAAGAGACAGGAAACAAAGAGAGGACTGAATGGACAATTTTCAGCATGGCAAAATGTGAACAATGGGGTGCCTCAGTTATCAAGTCTAGTGCTGTTCAATATTTGTGTTAATGAATTGGAAAGGTGGGTGAGTAGTGAAGTAGCAAAATTTTCAGATGACACCAAGTTATTTAGTTTACTGAAGTCCAGAGAGAAGTCTAGGATGCATCTTGGGGATCTAAACAAGATAGGTGAATGGGCAACACAATGGCTAATGAAGTTCCTCGTTGACAAACGCAAAATAATGCACCACTGGAGGAAAAAATGAAACCATTCATACACCTTACAGGGTTTTAAATTAACTGTATCAACTTAGGAAAGGGAGCTCCTATTGCCTGGACTCACTGTGCAGCCTGCAGCCAAAAAAACAAACAGGATGTTAGGATGTATAGGGAAGGGGACGGAAAATAAATTGGTGGCACTCGCGCCTGAGTGTCTGGGTGCAGGGCTGGTCACCCCTCCTCAAAAAGTCTAGGGCAGAATTAGAGGGGGTTCAGAAAAGAGTGACGGAAAAGATGGGGGACATGGAAAAGCTTTAATGTGAAGAGAGACTAAGTGGGCTGGGACTGTTTACCCTAGAAAGAACAGGCAACATGATAAAATAAAGAATGGTAGAGAGCTGGAAGATCGGGAGCATCTGCTCTTTTTGTCTTGTGACACAAGAACAAGGAGCCCTCATTAAGCTACATACTCCAACTCAGCTCACTCCTGATGGATTGGGTAAAATGACTTGGATTTTTAGTGCAATGTGAGTTTAGTATGGAGTGGATACAATTGTAACACGAATACCAGCGAATTGTTCCAAGGAAAGAAACCTCTCACAGATTAAGCCAACTGAAAGACAACTGGGCATTTCTCCATAGAACTCCCATAGTAGTAACAATCAGCTGTGGTTTTTCTTTTGTTGGAGCAGGATTTGCTTTTTAATGGAAACCACACTTACATTCAGCAAGCTAAATTTATATGATATTGTGTAAATAGATGGAATGACTTGGCAGAGTTAGATGCAGCCTTTTATTTTTATGTTCATTCTCACGCACTCTGAACAATCTCTCTAACTAACCATATACACTTGCTCCAGTACCTTGTTCAAAGGGGATACTGCAAACAGGGATCACATAGGTCAGTCAGCTATAAGCGGTGTATAGTGCTGTTTATTCTACGTACTGCTACATGGGATTCATTTGACTTTCAAATCACAGGCAATTTGCTTGACTCTATAGTACAATCTTGTTCCAATGAAATCTACTTATAAGAGTTTAAATACATGCCCTGACATGACATAATACTATTATCACATCTTCCTATAGGTTCTCTGAAAGGCTGAGGGCCAGAACCTCAGTTGGTGTAAACTGCCACAAAACTAGAGTAATCTATTGATAAACGTGGCCCTGAAAATCAGCATAGCTCCATTTAAAACAATAGAACTGCACCAGTTTACCCTTTGTGTCTGCGCCTAGGATCCTGTCTGCAGCATTTCCCTAGTCCACCAGAATCAGCAGCCACAGCAGCAGAGTGAGTCTCGCAAACAATGGATCAGTTACACACGGCTGCTCCTGCTGGACCACTAAGGAAGCATTATGAGTGGCAGCAGGTTTCCAGGTGTGATCAACGGCAGTGGTGCGCAAACTGGGGAGTGTGCCCTCCACGGGGATGGGGAGTACAAGAGGTTTTCTTGGGGGGCGGGAAGAAATTTAATTAATATCACTTTTCACAGCAGACTTACTAGCACCCCATCACCACCCTTGCTTCTGCGCTGCTGCTGGTGGCGGCGCTGCCTTCAGAGCCACCCAGCTCTGAAAGCCATGCTGCTGCCAGCAGCAGCGCAGAAGTAAGGGTGGCGATGGGGTGCTAGTAAGTCTGCTGTGAGAAGTGATATTAACAAATATCACTTTTCACATTGCCATACGAGTGGTTAATTTGTTTTCATTTGAAAAAAAATTTTAAAATCTACATTTGCAGTTTGTAATACTCTGTGTTTACTACTTCCTAATAACTTTTAGCTGGTCTTATAAATTTAGTAATAAAAATTATTTTTTCATTCCTTCTGCCAACTTGCAAAAAAAAAAAACAAAAAAAAAACCACAGTTTCAGATTAGAAGTACTGGGTGAGGGGAGGGTTATGACAAATTCCGTGCATGGTAAGTGGGGGCACAACTGGAAAAGTTTGTGTACCACTGATCTAGGGGAGGAAGAAAAGATAAACTGAAGAGGAGGAAGGAAAATCTGGTAGGAGAGGAAGGGAAGAAGACACCGCTGGGGGCAATAGAGGGAGAGTCACACAAACAGAAAAGGGGGCTGACAAAATGAGGCAGGGCAGTCCTGTAGCAATGAGCACCACCTAGCCTGGAGACAACTTTGTCCCTCTTTCCCTGGGCCAGCAAATATCAGAAGCACTGCAGACAGTATACTCAGCCATGAGGGTGATTCAGAGTCTGACTCTAGTGACTCCCTTGTGACTGGCTGGAGAAGCAAAATTTATAACTTTGTA